CTGCTGCCCCGTTCGCTCCTGACACTCAAGGGAGCTTCTTCCAGTCAGTGTTGACTATATTGAGCTTGGTGGACCAGTGGGTCTGGCTCAGTATAAGGCAAGTGTCCTGGGTGTAGAAGGGCTGGAGCTCAGTGGCTTTGCATGCAGAAGGTCCCAGGTTCAATTTCTGGCATCTCCAGGTAGGGCTGGGAATGTTCTGTCTGAAACCTCTAGAGAGCCTATGCCAGTCAGTGTAGACCAAAGGTAGACAACAATATGATGCTTCTCCAGATCAACTCCCATCAGCCCCTGCCAGAAAGGCCAAACATCAGACCTGAACGTGCACCACACCGGCTATCCCTGGTGTAGACAATACTAAACTAGATAGCTCAAGGATGTGGCTTGGCATATAGCAGCCTCTCATTTTCCTTTGTGAATGGCAGAACAGATTCCAGCGCTCGTTCGCTGCCCTTAGTCTGAAGACTATTAATTCCTCTCACGGATTCTCCAACAAAGGCTTGGCGGAAACCCAGCTCTCTGTTCTCCCGCCTGCTGGCAGGATTGCATTGTCAGAAGCAGCGAGATAGTCTCTTATCACTTTGATTGGCTAATCCCCCAATAATCCAAATAATCCAATTTCTCCAAATTTATGCCACAGCAATACACACACACAAGCAAGGCTGAAAAGATGGCATCTTATCCCATCAGTAATTTCCTGAGAGGTTTACGGTCACATCTGCACCTTCCATTTAAAGCACTGTTATAGCACTTTAACAGTGGTAGTTTTCCCCACCACCAAAGTATCTTGGGAACTATAGTTTGTTAAGGGTGCCTGGGAGTTGTTAGGAGACCACCTATTGCTGTCACAAAGCTACAATTCCCAGAGTGGTTTAGCAAACCAATCTCTCTTCCCATGGAACTCTAGGGATTGTTGCTCTGTGTGGGGAATAGGGTGCTCCTAATGACCCTTAAAAAACTACAGTTCCCAGGATTCTTCAGTGGAAACCTTGGCTTTTTAAAGTTGTTTACTAGTACTTCAGATATATGGTCTGTGGGTGTAAATAGAAAGAACTACTTGATGCAAGAACAGAGAGAAATACAATTGTGTTTTCCTCTCTGTGTATCAGATGGTATGCATGCCATCACATCCATTAGCAAACTGAAGCTTCCAACAGCCCTGCAAGGTTAGCAAGCCAGTATTGTTATCCCCCCACAACACAAACGGGAGGTGCTGAGGCAGAAGGGCATTAATTAAATGCATTTATAGCCTGCTTTTTGTCCAAGGAACTCAAGGTAGCACAGGTGCCCCTCACCTTCACAACATCCCTGCGAGGTTGGTTAGGCTGAGAGAGTGTGACTGGCAAAGTCATCTGCAGCGGGAATTTGAACCTGGGCTTTCTCAGTCCTAGCTTGACACGCTAACCACTACATCCCATTTTGGAGCTTGCGACTGAGGTGGAATTGGGAACTGGCAACTTCCAACCTCATCACTCCTGATCTCGACCAGGAATTTTGGTTTAGGCCTGGTTCTCAAAACAGTCACCATGTTTCTTGACACAAGCGCGGCCATCTTTGAACATGGGCTGCCTCCTCTTCAGATTGCCATTATTGCACATGTGCCATATAAACGAATCTCTCTGTCAGACACCCAGGTATTTTTGTTCCTTCTCGCTAAAGAATATGGGGGGAAAGGTCATCGGAAAGGGGGAGAGGGAAGCCCCCAGAACCACTTGTTCTGCCAGAGCTCTCTTTGAGTAAATCCTGAATAGCAATGGGACGCCGTCTGAGAAGGTCTCCGCCTTTTGCCAGAAAAAACAAGCCTCTTTCACTCAAAAAGCTCTCCAAGGGGGGATATAGTTAGCCTGAGGTCTGACTCCCTCTCTCCTCTTTCTTTTCCCCTCTTTCTCTCTCCCAGCTTCCTCTACCCTGCTCTGATTCATAACCAGAAACCGCAAATGCAAACATGAGGGCCATATTAGATGAAGCCTGAACGAGAGGGCCCCGTTTCCGCTGAAGTTGTGAACTCTTGTTTCCCCCCTTGCTGCCTGTCGCCCCTGGTTTGGCGGATTTGAGGTGGGTGAGGTGGAAAGTCATAATAAGCTGAGGTAAAAAGTGTGCCTGAACTAGTCAGGAGACAGTGTGTGAAGAAAAGCCACATTGTGGCGGGTGATTTAAAGCACAATGAGAAAGGTGTAGGGAGCTGACATTTCAGCCCACTCACTGAACTTTTACTTATTTGTTTATTTTTATAGGTTGCTTAGCCTTATAGGTTGTTGTGCCTCCAGAACCAGAAGTGAGCCTGCCTTTAAAATGAAAGGAGAAACACTGCTTTAAAAGCGGTTGCGGTTAGAAATGCGTAGGGGAGCAGGTCCAGCTCAAGATGTTTTGCCGCCTGAGGCGAAGGACAAGATGGCAGCACCTCGGCGTCCCTCGGTTTCCATGGGCAGAAGCTGGGGTGAGGAAGGCATTCAGCTCAGCTCATATTGAATGACAAACCCACGTAACTGCTGCTTCCAGTAACAACACCTGTGCTGAAACGCAACCACCTTTTGAAAGCCGACACGGCAAAGCAGTTCTCCAGCCAGGTAATTTGTACAGAAAGGCATATATTGGGGGGGAGGGGGGAGTGTGCATAAAAATGTCTGTATTAGTAATAGCTGCACTCAAAAATCCATACTATCATGGAAAACCACTTTGCGAAAAATGTGTGTATAAGGCAGACCTGCACACGAATGTGTATATAAGTAGAAACTAAGAGCTTTTTAGCTGTAATGCTTTAAGAGATATGAAAAAAGGTTTGCAATTGGGTAAAAGCTTAATGGTAAGGATTTGCTGAACTAACAAATTGAACTGGAATACAAAAAAGGGAGGTATGAGGAGGTCCGGGGAAATAAGTGTAGGGAAGATAGGTTATGGAAAATTAATGTCTTTTTAACTGTCTTATTTGGTATGTTTCTTTTTATTTTTTACTTTTTTGGTTATATTTTAAAAAACTTTATTCTTTTTCTTTCTGTATTCTGTATTTTTTGTATCTTTTGAAACTTTAATAAATATCATTTAATATATATATATATATAAGTAGAAATTTGCACTAAAACGCTGGTGAGTTTTCAAAATGACTTAAAAAGATAATTAATCCGTAAAGCAATGTAGAACAACAACAACAACATTATCCGCCCAACAACAACAAGAACAATATTGCTGAAGTTGCAACAGTATTACCCACTCTTCAACCTAAGGTCCCAGGTCATGTTACAACAATTAAACCACAATGTTAAAAACATCTTAAAACAACTTACAGTCACAGAAATAAGGTGGGTTCTAAAATATCTGAAGTGTCAAAAAGCCAGAGTAAAGAAGAGGAGAATTGAGCTTAAAAGGCTGGAAAAATGAGAAACAGAAAAAGCAAAACAGATTTGCCGATCCCCAACAGAAATAGGCTCTACTGGAAGATAGCTTTTACATCAGACACTGTCCACCAACAGCATATGAGCACAGCTACCAATATGTGGACTTCAGTGGCCAAGCTCTCCTGATTCAGATTTAGCCACAGCTGACATACTTCGTGGAGCTGGTACAGTGGTGCCCCGCAAGACGAATGCCTCGCAAGACGAAAAACTCGCTAGACGAAAGGGTTTTGCGTTTTTGAGCTGCTTTGCAAGACGAATTTCCCTATGGGCTTGCTTCGCAAGACGAAAACATCTTGCAAGTTTGTTTCCTTTTTCTTAAAACCGTTAATACCCAGGGTGCATTGCTTGAAGAGGTGCAGTTGCGACTTGACTTCGAGGAGCAACTCATAGCACGCGGTGTGGTAGCCTTTTTTGAGGTTTTTGAAGACTTTGGTGATTTTTGAAGCTTTTCCAAAACTTCTTTTGCAGCCATTTGGTAAGTTAAACTTTTAAAACTTTTTGGGGGGGTTTTGGATTTTGGGTTGGGGTGTTTGGAATTCAAGGACTTGGTGTTGGGGAGGGGTTTGCAAGAATCTGGAAGCTTGTGTGTTTTTCCCCCTGAATTTTTATGATTTTCTGTGACCATTGGGCCACTCTGCTGTTTTTTTAAAAAAATTCTGGATTTGAATTTCTGTGTGGTGGGTGGCTGGGGGAACAGTTGAGGAGGGGTTTGCAAGAATCTGGAAGCTTGTGTGGTTTTTTCCTGAATTTTTATGATTTTCTGTGACCATTGGGCCACTCTGCTGTTTTTTAAAAAAAAATTCTGGATTTGAATTTCTGTGTGGTGGGTGGCTGGGGGAACAGTTGAGGAGGGGTTTGCAAGAATCTGGAAGCTTGTGTGGTTTTTTTCTGAATTTTTATGATTTTTATTGTTCCTTCAATTTTTGAATTTATTGTTCCTTCAATTTTTGAAATGCTCTTTACAGTATGTGTGACTTTAAAGAGCACTTAATAAACTCTTGTTGTACCAAATTTGGCTTTGTTTGGACTTTTTTTGACCATAGGAACGCATTAATTGAATTTCAATGCATTCCTATGGGATTTCGTGCTTCGCAAGACGAAAAATTCGCTAGACAAAAAAACTCGCGGAACGAATTAATTTCATCTTGCGAGGCACCACTGTATATAAGACACCCCTAGTCACAGAGGCCACTTGGTCCTCCAATGACAGAGATTTATTCAAGAGATATTTATGGGGAGACAGCTGTCCAGGTGAGATCCCAGCCACACATCATCTTAATTTCCCAGGGGGATCTAGACACACACAAATTAACATAAATACATTTTATGCAGATTTGTGCCATGAACCTGTGGCCGTAGCCCTTAGGTATCTAGCAAAGCCCTTGGGATGATCCGAACAAAGGACAAAAATGCCTAGGAGGCAAAAAGCCAAAGACTTTTAAAATCCAGTATAACAGCAAACTCAGTTCTCTGAGAGCGGATCCTTCACCAAGAAGATAGGAAGCTGCCTTATACTAAGTCAGAGCATTGCTTCATCTAGCTCAGTACTGTCAACACTGACTGGCAGTAGCTCTCCAAGATTTCAGGCAGGGGTTAAATCCCAGCCCTACCTAAAGATACCCAGGATTGAACCTGGGATCTTCTGCATGCAAAGCAGATGCTCTACTACTGAGCAACAGCCCTTCCATTAAGACATAAGGAAGCTGCCTTATGCCGAATCAGACCCTTGGTCCATCTTGCTCAGTACTGTCTACACTGACTAGCAGCAGCTCTCCAGGATCTCAGGCAGGACTCTTTCCCAGCCCTACCTGGAAATATCAGTTGAACCTGAGACCTTTTGCATGCAAAGCAGACCATCTTAGCATGGAGCTATGGTCCTTTCACAAATTTATAGGAATCTACTTTACACCAAGTCGAAGCATTGGTTTGACTAGCGAAACACTGCCAACACTGGCTGGTAGCTGCTCTCCAGGAGACATTGCCAGTCCTATCTGTAGATGTCAGGTATTGAACCTGTGAACTTTCTTTGCATGCAAAGCACATGCTCTAGCACTGAGCTACGGTCCTTCCCCCAAAACCAAAACAGCACCCCCAACTACATGGTGAGGGCTCAAGGTTTGTGAACGCTCCAGCATTTCTCCCAAACAAATCAGAATATTTCCCACCCCTGTCCCACTGCCGCTGCTTGTCAGCTCACATCCCCCATCCTACCACCACCACCACTTGTCAGACCTCAGCATTCCCCTCCCACCATCCCACCGCTGCTTGCCAGCTTACAAACCCACCCCATCCCACTGCTATCGCCATTTGCTAGATCGCATCATTCACCCACACAAGAAGGGCTGCAACTTCCTGACGTTTAACACTGCAGCCCTCCTCACATGTATTTTGGTTCTGCACTCTTTTTAGTTAGTTTGTTTGTTTTATAAATTTTATTTTTCGGTTTTTCAAAAAAAAATTTTTACAAACATGCAAATAAGAAAAACACAAATCACATACATTTCTAATACAGTGGAACCTCGGTTCCCGAACACCCCCATTGTCATATGTTTCGGTTCCCAACGCTGAAAACCCAGAAGTAAATGCTTCCGTTTTCAAATGTTTTTCGGAACCAGAACGTGCGACGTGGCTTCCGCTGAGTGCAAGAAGCTCTTGCAACCAATGGGAAGCCGCGCCTTGGTTTTTGAACATTTCAGAAGCCAAACAGGCTTCTGGAACAGATTTCGTTCAAGAAGCGAGGTACCACTGTACACATATATTCAACTTCCCTCCCCCTACTTTTTGTGGTTTTTTAAATTTTAATTTTCATACTGCAGTTTCCACATTACTCCATCTTTAAGTTATTCTTTAGTTCCCCATAATAATCTGTTTAAACGCTACTTTTACGTTAGTCCTGCTAATGAGCTTATTTGGGTTCTGCACTCTTTTGGTCCTCCTTGTCTGAAATCCTGGGACATCCCAGGATGGAATCAGAAGCCAGAATGGGTTCTGTAATTCTGTAATGTCCCAGTAAAAACGGGACAGTTGGGCACTATGGATTTGCAAAAGTACAAAATCATTTGTGGGAAGTAGGAACAGAGTGAGAATGCTCAGTCCATAGCAGGGTGCTGTCTGGCGGTTGGTAGGGGGAATGACCAGAAAACTGGGCAATGGAATGGAGTGTCTTGAAAAGGGGTTTGGCGGGCTCGCTGGGACCATAAGCAGGACTACTACATGCTACAACATTCTGTTGCAAGTCACACTGCAGAGCTCTGGCAGGTCTCCAGGGACTGGATTCAGACATGCAGGTTCACTGTGGGATTCTTGGAATGATTATACAGTGGTGCCTCGGAAGACAAACGGAATCCATTCTGGAAGTCCGTTCGACTTCCAAAATATTCAGAAACAAAGGTGCGGCTTCCGATTGGCTGCATGAAGCTCCTGCAGCCAATCGGAAGCCGTGCAAGGCGCGTCGGACGTTCAGGTTCCAAAGAATGTTTGCAAACCGGAACACTCACCCGGAACACTTACTTCCGGGTTTGCAGCATTCGGGAGCCAAAACATTTGACTCACAAGGAGTTCGAGATCCAAGGTACGACTGTCCAAGAAAACAAAAGAAAGCAGGATTTATACAATGTAGTTTGTGTGCATTATTTTGCAGGGAGGAACAGAAAATGCTCTCTGGCCTGGCTATTGCGGGGTTAACAGCAAAAAAGAGTTCGGGGGGGCAGCTTAGAAAACACCCGAATGAGGATGGCAAGCAACCCTCCCCTCTTGACAGATGGCCCAGAAGACAGTGAACTGCCCTTCTCCTCCCAGGAGACCTCCCCACCTCCTGTAATCTAATTAGATTTATATTCTGGGAAATTCAAGAAATGGTCGTGTTAAAAGAGGAGTAAATTGTGCAGGGTGGAGGGTGCTCATCCATGGGATTCAGGAAGAGGGCAATTAAATGCCAACAGGCTGCTCTAATCCAATTTGTAGGTCGATCCTACAAACTGCATCTCCATTTTAGAGGGATGAAAAAGCTGAAAAAGCTTTGCATGCCTGATGCCAAGAATACGTCTGTGTTTGGACCTAAGGATAAACCAGGAAGAACGTCATAGCAAAAGGTTAGATTATCATCTTCATTATTATTGGCATTTTTATGCTGCTATTTGGCCAAAAAATGGTTCCCAGAGAGGCTTACAAAGATCAGAAGGCAGCCCTCAACTTCAGTTTCACAATCTCAGAGACACAACACAAAAGGAAAAGGGGCTGGGAGGGAGGAGGAGATAGAGGTCAACGTGGCCCAATCCAGTGGCTGAAGAAGGAGCAGCTGAATAAAATTCTAGTGCCTAAATTGGGAGGAGTGGCATTTCCTCCTCCCTTCCCAATCCTTTTTCCTTTTGTGTTGTGTCTTTTAGATTGTAAGCCCGAGAGGACAGGGGCCATCTTATTATTGTTGTAAGCCCCTCTCAGTTCCTTTCTCACCTGAAGAGTGTTCTGCCTCCACAATGGGCAGCAGTATGCCTCTTTATACCAGCTGCTGGAAAACCACAGGAGGGGAGAGTTGCTGTGGCACCCAGGTTATGCTTGTGGGCTTCCCACAGGCATCTGGTAGTCCACTGTGAGAAGCGAATGCTGGACTAGATGGACCATTGGCATAAACTTGGAGGGCTCTTCTTATGTGACTCACTAAGCAAAAACAAAATGGGAGAATGGTTCAAAAGCCTTCACTGGGGTGGGATCTAAACCGCCTATCTTTTTGGCTCATCTTTCTTCAAGTGTTTCTGAGTTGGCCCTCCAAAGCTATCATTTAAGACGCTCCGCAGTCAGCTTCCTGGCTTTGAATACAAAGGTCTGGATTGCTGAAGCTGATCTCGAGCCAGGCCTAGGAGAACAGATTTCCTTTCAAGAGCTGCCAAGATCTGTCAAAATTGCCTGAACCACAGTGGCCAAATTGTGTGGACGGTGCTTCTGTGAGGTGGAATCCAGCTGACAAGCACTGGAGAGATGGGAAAGGGATCGCAAGAGAGGGACAGCCTATCTCAGAAAAGACCATGGGGGGCATCTAGTCAACTCCCCGGCTCAGTGCAGTTGCAGCAACCCTGCTGGCCATCCAACTTGCTTCTCCACTCCCCGCTGAACCATGAGAGGCCCTATCTTCATTGGCATGCCGCTGGCATTTGAAGATGCACAAGTTTTTAGACAGAGATTTGTTCCCATGATGACATGACCCAAGTCTCCTGTTTGAACTGCTGTATTGTTCAATTTATTGCATATTGTTAATGTCCCTCTGATCTCCAAGGGGTGAGAGAATCCAGGGGCTCCAGGAACTTGCCCAGGTACAGTTTCCTTGGAATAAGAAGGAGGGGCTCACAGCATTAACACCCCTAAAAGATCTAGCTTCTCCACAACAGCCAAAGCCACTAGTTAGACAAAGGAGCTTGTTGGGCAAGCTCGCTCTCATACATTCTGCCACACAGATACAGGATCCCAAGAACTGGAAGGGACTCAGGGCATCATCCAGACTGATTCTCGCAAAGTCATAAAATCATTTTAATTATGGATGCTTGCTTTCATGTTTTCATGACGTTAATTTATTTTAGCTAATGTAGTGTCCTCCCGGTGTTGTGGACTACAACTCCCATCATTCCTGACCTTTAACAATCCAAATGGTTTAATTCGGGGATCAAAAGCTCATGAGTGCAAGAAGGCATTGTTTTCCGCTCTGCTATGTATCCATCACATGCAACCCCGTTTCCATTCTGCTGCAGGCTACCGCCTGCCAAAAAGCTACATTATTTGCCTATCCCTGGCATGCGGCCCTCAGAAGGTTTCTTAGAAGGGAACGTGGCCCTCAGGCTGAAAACCAGAAAGGCAACACTGGATCACTCACACCTCACCTCTGACCTGGAGCCATATCCCGTTGAGCCAGTCCTAGGAACTCCTACACAGCTTTGGTGACAGGCATCGGCTGATACGCATCTTTCTTAAATCAAAGAAAAGGAAGTGCTGGTTGATCCAGAAAAACCTTCTTTCTCATTTTTCCCTCAGCAGAGATTCCCACAGGTGGGCAGGGAGATGCCCCTCTAATGATTACACTATATCATTAACGACCAAGGGTGATTAACAGGTGGGTGGCTACGCCCGCCTGTCAAATTTGGGCCCATGAGACTGATCCTGATAAGAGTATCTGCCTTGCATGTAAAAGGTCCCAAGGTTCAATCTCCAGGTGTTGCTGGGAAGACTCCTTGTCTGAAGAGCCGGAAGAGGCCTTTAATCAGGCCTTTGGCTGATTGACACCTGATGCCCTTTTAAAAGCTGTTGTGGGAGTGGGGATTATTGGGTTGTTTTTGTTTTTATTATGTATTCTGTGTTTCTTATATTGTGATTTTATGCTGTGAACCGCCCTGAGATATATGGGTATAGGGTGGTATACGAATAATAATAATAATTATAATAACAATAACAACAACAACAACAACAATAATAATAATAATGATGATGATGTCTCTCTGGAGAGTCAGTGTACACTATACAGTGGTACCTCGGATTACATACACTTCAGGTTACATACGCTTCAGGTTACAGACTCCACTAACCCAGAAATATTACCTCGGGTTAAGAACTTTGCTTCAGGATGAGAACAGAAATCATGCTCCGGCGGCGCAGTAGCAGGCCCCGTTAGCTAAAGTGGTGCTTCAGGTTAAGAACAGTTTCAGGTTAAGAACGGACCTCCGGAACGAATTAAGTACTTAACCCGAGGTACCACTGTATTGAGCTAGATGGACAAATGGCCTAACTGAGGATAAGACAGCTTCCTATGTCCCAGTGGCACAAAAGTGTTGGTTTAAGCAATCCCTTCTGCCTGGCTAGCTGGTTTGTCTACCTCTTTCATGTGGGCTGGACAGCAAAGGAATTCCCTTGTCGGAATCATCCAGGAAGTATCCACCCAGGGTGACAATGACCAGTGACAAAAGCGTAAGCTTTTGTTCAGTTCCAGCTGGTAACCTTATGTATAACAGGAAGAGAGGTCCAAGGGTAAGCAGAGTGCCTCACACAAACAGCTGAACAAGATCAGGCCCATGTAAATACCACAGA